AGCTTTGCGCGAAATTAAAAAAAAAAAAAACATTTGATACAAGAGCTGCTAATTTCTAAGATGCCTGCTCTATTGAAGTTAAAACTAACTCTATCCTTTCAACGTGTTTAACCTCTTCACCAGAGTATTACAGGGCTCAGTCAAAAGCCCACTGTTATATATTGTATATGTAAATTACATTCACTATTCAGATCACTAATTTGCAGAACTCACTTTTCTCACGGTTTGGAAACAATTCAGAGTACTTCTCCTAGCCTATTCTAGCCAAATTCTAAGCCCCCTTTAATGAAGTCTTTAATCTTGGCCCAACCTTACAGAACATGTTTAACCTCCGCTGATGTACACATCACAATTTTCCATAAAACCTGAACAGAACAAAAGCCTAAGTTATTTCTTCAAATTTACAACAACTCTTTAAATTTTACTAACATTATGAAATTTCTAGAATTTTTGTTTGACACTATACTAAAATGGAATGTTCACAAAGAGATAACTAACACAAGCGTTTTCCAATAAATCAACCTATTAAATTTTTACAGAGGTTGAGTACGTTATATTAAAAAGATTTTGGAGCCTCACCGCCCCATTATAGTCAATGATGTCGCTACATCCGATTACGCTTTATCTAACAACCATGCATATAGACTATAATAGCTCTGCAGTATAATTTCCCTTGCAAAATGCTCCGTCGTAAAGTTGTCTTGCTGAAACACACCCATCTCCACGTGCTTTGAACATACCATTTTCTGAATGTGGATGACGCTTTCCCTTGCCTGTTTAAACAGTCCAATCAACACAGACTTGACTGGTGTTTGAGACATGAGATGGTAAATTAGTGGTATGATTGGAAGCATATTATGTTGCATACTGTTTATTAATGGATAAACTTGCTATACATCTACATATTTACAATTTTTTATCCTATCTTCACATGATATCCAATCTATCCCTTGCTAAAGAATTTCTCTCTAAATTAACCAAAAAAAATGTTAAATGCTCTTAACAGAAACGCTCTTACTAAAGCTTATACAAACCATCACTTCACTCTCGACGGGAGTAACAAATATAACTTCCCTTGAACCTTTATAATAATAAGTTACAATCCCCTAAATCTCCATTACTATATTAAAATGTAATCTTTACTCCTTCTCCTATTAGTAATAATATTATTTTATTATTTCATTAATATTAACCACCAAATACACACACACACACGAGTCTGGTTAAACAATCAAACTCACAATATTCAAAGTCAACTTTTAATAAATAAGAAAACCTAACAGTTTTTTTTTGTTTACTAATAATACTTGCTGTTTAGCTTGAACACACTTGAATCGTGGCTGAGTGTCAGAACAGACTACCATTGTTCCAGAGAATTTACATAAACTGCATCGTATGAGCTTAGATTTGCTGAGAATTGATAACATTCAAAATCTGTAATATGAATGGCTAGCATTTACATTCTCTACCAAGACAGGTTGACTTTAGCTCTTACCTTGTGCAAGCACACAACAATTCTATTGCAAACAGTTTATGAAAAGCAGCTATGAAAACAATATTTTCAAAATATCTATGTTACCAACATTCTAGATTTTCTGTAGCCAAGCCCATCACAACACCTCTTCTATCAATATTTTTGTAACATTACCTTTATCTGTCTCACCACTACTTTGTTGGTTTTGTAGTAAGCTCCCATAACTCCACTCATCTTCTGTCACGCAAAAAAAAAATAACAATTTTGTGTTACCAATACTTTGCATGCTCTTCAAGCCACTACATGATTATCGGCGTTTTTATTGTAAACCACAATCTTGCTCCAATTCTTCTTATATTGCAGATTTGCGTTTCACAGCAGATTGCCACTATTTCATATAATCTCCGTCTACCTTACCATCTCTGGAAGTGGATAACACTTTTACATGTTTACATCCATTACCGAGAATTGTTACACTTGTTTCTGACTACTCTGAACAGGAATTTGATTATATTGGTGAATATAACAATCTG